TAGTTGAACGATGCACAGTGACTCCATCAGCAGCAAGATGATGTTGTAGGTCTTTGGTGCTGGTCTGTGGGTTGACTCTGACTGTTCTCAACATCCTTCGCTTCAGTTTATTAGAGATTTGTCTTGGTCTGCCACTTCGATCCTTGACTTGAACTGTGCCTGTGGTTTTCCATTTTCTCACAATGTTTCTCACAGTGGAGACTGAAAGCTGAAATCTCTGAAAGCTTTCTGTATCCTTCCTCTAAACCATGACTGTGAACAATATTTGTTTTCAGCTCATTTGAAAGTTGTTTTAGAGACTCCCATGCTGCCACTGTTCAGAGAAGATGCAAAGAGGAGAAAAACCTACAATTGCCTCCCTTAAATGCCCTTTCTCATAATTGGAGTCACCTGTGTATGRAGGTCAAGGGTCACTCAACATACCAAACCAAATTTAAGTTCCTATAATTGGTTCTATAAGTTTTGWAATCAATAAAATGGCAACAGTGCCCAAATTTATGCACCTGCCTAATTTTGTTTAACCAATTGTTGCACAATTTCTGTAAATCAAATAAAATTTCCCTTTTCAAATATCACTATGTTTRTCCCCTAAATGATATATTTAACTGATTTTATTTAATCCAAACAATCAATGATTTTTAAAGGTAAATCAGGAAAATTAACAAGGGTGCCCAAACTTTTTCATGACTGTATTTCTACAGATTAAACAGCTCCCCTGTTGTTTCTGGTGTGGGCGTTGTGCTCTGCAGGGTGCAGGATGAGTAAGAAACTGCTGGTGGACGTGGACTGCGGCGTGGACGATGCTCAGGCCATCATGTTGGCGCTGGCCRCTCCAAACGTGAAGCTTCTGGGAGTCACCTGCGTACACGGAAACACTGCAGTGGAGAATGTGTGCAAGAATGCTCTGCGGGTCCTGCAGGCCTGCGACCAGCTGGAGGTGAGTTACATGTGCCGCATCCTAAACACCTAGCAATAAGAGACCCAGAGGAGTTAAACAGCTGCTTCACATTCAGAGGTCAGCAACACAACATGCTCCAGGYTTCAAACATTTCCATTTATAGGTCAGAATGGGTTTATGTTCACATGTACTCCATTTCTTCATTTGGAACTAGATTCCAGTGTTTAAAGGTGCTGATAAGCCCATCCTTGGCAACACTCGCAGTGCGGGACACTTCCACGGTCAGGACGGTCTGGGAGATGCTCCTGACCCCAATGCTCCTGGTCTGGATCTGCTTCAGAAGGAGGACGCTGTGTCTGCTATAATCAGGATCGTTAACGAGAATCCAGGAGAGGTGAGAGATGGAGAAACAGCTGGGTTTAATTAAGAACCGCCTTCAAATAGATCAAAGGATTTAGAAATGATGCAAACAAGATGTATTTTGAAGTCTCAAAAATAAACTGTGGACCATTATTGCATACAAGTAGATTACATAGCTGCCTGCTGCTCCACTTGGGAATCTCACATGTGACGGGTCAAATGCAGAGCACAAATTTCACCATTGARCATGCATTGMTGACAAATGAAGCACCTTTACATTGTTTCACTGATTTTAAAACCAATAAATTAAGACGTGTCACAAATTTTAAGTCTGTGTATCTTTTCCAGGTGTCTCTGGTTGCCACAGCCCCTCTCACCAACCTGGCTTTAGCTGTGAGGATGGATCCATCTCTGCCCAGCAAACTGCGAGGGCTTTACATCATGGGAGGCAACACTGAGTGTGAGTGAARCACCGGCTTACTGTTGTTTGGTTTTAAAAGCAGACATCCAGTGAGTATAGAAATGATGTGGCTTTATTTTATTCAGCTGTAGAAAAAGAGAAAAGCAGTRAAGTTAAAACACCTGTTCAGAAACTCACACCTGTGCTTTTTAGAAACTGGATTTAGAACACAGAGGGAGAATTTGAAACATATTGTCCACGCGGTTTTATTTTTATAGTTCATATAACATTTTCCCCAGGTTTTTATTTTACACATATTTACTGAATTCAAGCAGCAGTCGAGGCAAAACTAATCTGAGTTATCACCTGCTCTGTTATTACCCATTTTAAACCTAAAAAAAAAAATTAAAAATTCTGCTGTAATTGCACATCTGTGTTTCTTGTCTGCATTGTGATACTTCACTTTACACTTAATAGTCTGTTGAGATTGTTTYGCACTGAAAACAGGCWATTCYTAATGTCGGATTCTGATAGTCTACTGTCTCTAAAACAAAACATATATCTTTTCTATTCTTGCACAATTCTTTATATTATATTTTTTATTATTAGTAGTCATATCATGGCTAGTCAGTGTTAATTTTGTTTTGTGTGCACTATCTATAGTTTGTAAAAAACTGTATTTATTCATTTATAATACTAAAAATTTAACCCTAAAAATCATCTATAAAGTAGGGGAGTAGTATTATACACGAGTTATTGATAATTAGATTTTTAATCCTTTTTAGCTCAAAAAATGATTGTATTATACTTGAGATCGTATTATACATGAATAAATATGGTAACTTCTGTGTGAACATCTGTACAGATGCTGCTGTGACATGAATTTCCCCTCAGCGGGACAATAAAGGCTATTTCTATTCTATTCTTTTCTTTTTCACCATGTTTTTGCATAAATCGTCTCTTCTTGYCCCCCTTCACATCTGTCTGTGGTTTTATGGAAGGCTACCCAATCAATGTTYTATTTTTCAGTATGGGCTTTCAAAGTGTAACTTCTGTGCTTCCTCAAGCTATTTATTCATTATGTGTTGACTTTAGACTGTAGTTTCAGGTAATTTTTTGTCAAATCTCTAGCAACAAACTAATGCCACTATGATAAATGCACAATTAAAGACCTAGCATTTCTTGAAGGTATTAAATAAGATTGAGATTWTAATTGTTGAGAAATGACACAATGWATCAAGTCRACTACAAAAGTTAATCAGTTATAGATGCACCTCTTATAATTAGCTCCTTTCTGAGAGTTTTATCAACATCAGTTCATGTTCCTGCTGCACTCTTTTAGACTTAGTTTAGCAGAGGTCACCTCGCGCTGTATTATTAGCACTTTAAAAAGTAGTCGTAAAAAAATTGGTTTAGTCTTGCTTTTTGAGGTGTTTTCTGATTCCTGTATTGCAGCTCGAGGAAACACCACAGTGTGTGGGGAGTTTAACTTCACTGCTGATCCAGAAGCTGCGTACATCGTGCTGAATGATTACCAGTGTCCCACCTACTTGGCCTGCTGGGAGTTTACCTGCTATAACAAGCTGCCCTGGGTAATACTCTTTACTTCCTACAAAGATTTCCTCCCCTTCCTTTACAATAAAAGCAGCGCTTGTGTTTTTTTTTTTCCTCCCCCAGGACTTCTGTGACGCCTGGTTGGCACAGGACAGCCATAAAGCTCGCTTCATGGCGCAGATCTTCCGCCACAGCATCGAGGCGTCTAAAACTGAACACTTTGAGAGAGAGTTCTTGGCCGGCAGCGGTCTTATTTCCTGTGACTCGTACGCCATGGCGGCTGCTGTGGACGACTCGTTCATCTTAGAAAGCGATCATTACCCAGTTAGCGTGGAGCTGACGGGCACTCACACCAGAGGAATGATGGTAGTGGACACTGTGGGGTTTCTGAAAAAAATTACTCACAAGGTTTTCATCATAAAGAAGGTGGATATGGAGAAGTTTAAGCAGATGATGATGGCTGCTTTAAAATAACCAGGCAGGAGTTTGTCATTTCTTTGGGATATTAGTATTTTTAGTGCTATAACGAATGTGCTGCTATAAAATTAGAATTAGACTCCTTATTGCACATTTACCTCAACTTTGTGATGACTCCATCATACACAACAAATAATCCACACCACTTCTTCCTTTCAGCTCTACCAACTGAGCCACAACTAATAAAATACAYTGAAAACTTAGACTTAATTTTTTTATTCAGGTGTTTGTTTCTTCATGCACCACACTCATTTATCTGGAATAACAAAAACAAATATGTCTCAAGCTCCAACCAATGAGAAGTTTGATCTGCATTTGCGATCCTATTGTGCATCAGACTTGCATCTTTTTTTTTGCATTTTGGTCTTTCGCTGCCGTTTTTTTCCACAGGTCCCTCAGATCGACAGTGCTGCACAGCTGCACTAGGACATCAGCAKCTGTTTTGATTTTAACCCCCACTAGTTTTTACAGACGCTAAACTGGTTTCCATTAAACACAGGAGCTGCATCAGCAGTTAGCTGGTTCCTCAGTATCCTTTCCTCCCTCTGAACCTTGACCTCGCATCCATCTGCAGACAGAAGACCAACACTGATCAGCGTTTTGCATCATGTAAGAAAATTTAGTCAGTTTGGAAAAAAATTGTACATAAGTCATTTTCTTCACTGTTTCTGATAAATGGTTTTAGTGGGTGTTGGTTATTTTGTGCTTAAAGTAATTTAAGTATATTACTATAATATACTGGCTCAATATGGCTAGGGTTTGGCCTAAGATTACTGGGTAAGGACAAGGATGCAAGTCCATGGGTAAAAATGGTAACGCCTGTTTATGAGATGCTGTACAAAAAGCTGATTTTAACCCACACTTCGGTGCACAGTGGCAAAGCCATTATTACAGACTTACCATTGATCTCTTGCATTCAAAGAATGTTGTTTGCAGGGCTTTGCAGTGGCCTTCCTTCAGGCACTCGCTGGGCTTCTTTCCCTCCTAATACATTGAGAAATCGCTGTGAATACATTGGGCCCTTCTTGTTTAGATACAATGTCTTATAATATTGAAAACAGCCAAGCAACAGTCTAATCTGAACAAAAAGTCTTAATTTTGAAAACAATAAAAAGGTGTTTATTAAACTCACATTTCTTGTGCATGTTACCTTAATTTTCAACTTATATTTATTTTTAAATGCCTTACATTATCAAAAGGTTTGTTTTAAAGTAAAAATTAAATTTTAACCTCATGTCAAGGAACTATTTGTTTTTTCCCCATCACTTCTAGAGAAATTAAAAAGCAACTTTTGTGAAATATGTTGCTCTATCAGTTTATTACTACTAAAAATGCAACAAAATGTAATCAAATTCCCCCGCATGCGTATTATTTTATTAGAATGAAAACAATTTTAAGCATATTTTTTGATTATTCAGAATAATTATTCAGAGGTGACCTAGCAAAAACTGAAGCCTTTTTGAGAACAGTGTGGTAAAACAAATACAAGTTAAAGCTGAAATAAACTGTGGCCCATTAAGTCCTCAAAAACAAAAAAGCTCTGAAATCGGACTAATAAAATCGACAGTAAAATTGACCATTTTTTGAACGAAGTCTGGGGTGACTAGCACCCGCGACCACAGCTTTTTGAAATGCCAGTAGTTTTACGTATTTTAAATTTCTTTGTTTCACATGTCTGTCTTCCAATAAACATAAAAAAAGTCTGTACCATAACTATTTATGTAATTTATTTCGTCAGTGTCCTGGCTTACCTTCACAACGCAGTCATGTTCAAGGAGACAATCCTTAAAGTCCTCTCTGATGCCAGCGCATGCTCTTTCGTCCACCTCTTTACCTTCGTAATATTTCGGCATAATTCAGAATTTACCTCAACACCAAAATATCTTCACTTGTTGTCACAAAACTGCTAAAATCAGTTAGTGAACAGCGATGGCATAAATGTTGTGGAAAACCATCCGCCATTAAAATTATGAAATGGCATGATGGGAAACCRGAAATACAGATGCATGCTGGGAGCAATTGTAGTTTTTTCCCTCTTTAAAACGTTCATGAGCGCCCTGATGATGTTTAAAACAAGTTTGTTACTTCCACGATGTCAAATCAAAACTAAATTGTAATAAAATCTTAAAATGCAGATGAGATGCAAATAAAATAAAATCACAACACAAAATGAGAGTTAATTCTACCACTTTTACTCATTTATTTCAAATATGATCATGAAAAAACAATGCAAAACCCCACCAGAATCAGGCAAACACATGAACACGATGAAGGCACGTGAACTGATGGGTAATGGGAACTATTGAGTAGATGTCTTAACCCGTTTCTTGTCCTTACACTCATTCTTTTACCATTTCTATCTCGATGCAGGAAACGAGTAAGGAACTATTTCAAAGTAACTTATATTGTCATTTACACCTTTCTTCTTCAAATTAAAAATAAATGAAGGATCACAGACTGAAATGATTACAGCTCAGACTGTAAAACTTTTACAATCTATGGTACAGATTTAGAGCAGCTGGTTGATCAACAGCAAAGGAACATAATTTGACCAGAACAGTGAAGTGTTAAATAAATTACGTACATGCTAAAAAGCATCATAARCAAGAATTGAGCAATTTCAGACCATTTCTACCAAAAGGCACTTCACTAACCCTTTAAAAAAACATGTAAACTGTTACAGAAAGATTCACTAACAAATATTCTTCACTCAGATTAATGGCCACATACATCAAAACGTGTCAAGTGGGGGGAAAAGATACAAAAAGATAATTGTTGTAGTATACACATATTGTATATATATGTACATTCAGTGGTGCACTCTAATGATCAGTAGTCATAAAGTTCTGTACATTCAAAGAAACTAAAATGGACAAATGAACTGCAGAGGATTCATATGACTTTTTCTGAAGGTGGAAAGTGAGGTACAAAAGACAACTGATGTGATCTTAAAAAAAAAACAGTGCAAACATTGTTGTTAGATAGTGAACCAGTTAAATCAACTTGTTCACTATTTTCATTCAGCATTACAAATGTTTTTCTTGGCATCCAATCCTACTCTGAACGGTTTCTCAAATATTAGTATTTCCAGCAATGTGTGGGGAAAACTGAGTTGGAACAAATTTAAATGATACTGTGGGGGCGACTTTCCAGAGAACTGAATATAAGGCACATTTTTTCCCCATTTAACTCACATTTACAACTACTTCAACATCATCTGTTAACTTTTCCTCTAGTTTAAATATCAGGCAACAAAAAGTGATGTTTTAGTGAAAAACCTTCCAAGCAGTTGTTGCCACCAACACATTTATAAGTAGCAATTGAGAATCAAAAAAGTACATAAAAACACAAACTGAACTACCATAAACATCTCTTAGAATAAAAATATATTTACCTCTTGTACAAATTAAAGATTTATTTCAAATAAATTAAGTCATCTTTCATAGATCGTCAGTCATGGTTGTAATAATATTCCGTTATAACAATATATTTCTTCAAGAAAAGCTTGCCAAGGCGATCCCCGATTGATTGGCTATAAATAGACACTGAGGTCATACACAGCCTGTCAGACAAGAGGAAACAAAAGGATGTCATGGTACAGATTTTCTCTGTGGTAGTTTACCACTCAGCTGCTTTAAGGTCAAATGTCAGCAGGATGGATTTTTGATCAATGTTTCAAGACAAGTATAGTATTTGAAAATGAGGACAAACGTCTTTTGTTTGGGTTTGTTGTTGATCTACAGAAACATGTTTAGATCGCCACCTTTTCTGCTGAGAACAGAGAGCAACTGGCCATTAGTGACGACAACATTTTCGATCATCACCGGGTTTGCTGAGGCCCCAGAGACAGTGCAATGCCCCAGCTCGCCCAAGTGTGGCAGCATTGAGTAAAAAGGAAAGGGATTTGGCAGCATCTACACCACTGGCCAGGTGACTGGTTCTCTCCAACCTTTTGTTTTTGTTTTTTTTTCATCCAGGAATCTTTCTGATTGCTTTCAAAGCTGCTGAACAGCAGAGTTTCAAGCAGATGTCCTTACATCCTTTGCTGCTGTTAGCAGACAGTAGTATTAACATTCTCACAAACTGATGAAATGCACAACGAGGAGGAAGTGATGGAAAAAGAAAAGGGGGGGGATAATGACATATAAAACAAAATACATCAGGACTGAAAAGAAAACATTGGACAGAGAGGTGGCGATTCTTAGACAAGCTAGGACGAGCAACTCGAAGCTCTAATAGCTTCACTGCTGGTTGCTAGGTGCCAGAGACCCTGCTTAAGCAGTCTGGGAGATTCTGGCCCTCCAGGGGCCACGACTCATGTAGCTCGTCCAGAGAAGTCAGCCAGATATTCTCTTTATATGTATCTGCAAGGAGAGAGAGAAAAAGAGCACATGATGTGTCATTAGATGAAAATGAAGAGGAAGGAAGCATTTTAGAGGTAATTATATTTGTCACCCACTTCACTGAGGATGGCCCAGACAGCAGAGTCTTTGAGAACTGAAAGACGGAGTGCCAAGACGGGGTTAAAGGATGGATCTACGGTTCCTTCTGCAACACCTTTTTCAAAATGACCTGAGTGTTCAAAAAGGCATATGAATTTAAAAAAAAGGAATCAAAAAAGTGATTAGATTTCTACAAAATCCACTGAATAAATATCTGAAAACACTGATGATGATGATGTTCTCATAAACTCATGTAGCACCAGAATCCTATCAGGAACACTTACCAATCCTGTAAAAGCGATCTTCAGTTCGCTTGTACTTGTCTTTGTTCTGCAGTGCGCTTTCCTGATAACAGAAGAATAAAGCGTGAGACACAAATTCAGATCTTGGGATAATTTTCTTAAAAATCTAAACAGCACCCAAACAGGTGTGAACAACAGTTCTTAACGCTGAGTGTGGACTGCAGTGTCAGAACGYATCGGTGCTAGCAGAGCCAGTGATTCTGTCATGGTCGCACTCCTGCCAAAAATCAATACACTACGTCCAGAATGCAGCCACTCCATGTAATCTAATATGAGCTTTTTGCACACCTCACAAAAGAAGAGGCAGACCGCCTGTGTGTGTGTGTGTATGTGTGTGTGTGTGTGTGTGTGTGTGTGTGTGTGTGTGTATGTGTGTGTGTCAGTTTGGGAGGGGGTTTCCTACCGAGGCAGCCAGTATTTCCACGGTGGTGTTCTCGATCCTGTCTCCTGGGTGCTCCTGGTTTCCGCTGCGGAACAAGAACCTGCCAATCAAATCAAGTCCTAGATTTAATACTCTCATCCTTGCACTTTTTGTCAAGTAGTAGCTTCAAAACTGCAGACATTAGGTTTGATCATGCTTAACTAATGAAACTTAATCTGAGCATGCAAAAAAATGGACACCTTTAAGTCTTGGAGTTTATATGTCAGATTGAAATGCTTGTGTTTCAAGTCAAAGCTACATTTTCTCCTGTGACATAGAATCTGACATTCCTGCATTTTCATTCATCTCACTCAAACATCCCTGCAGATCTCAAAGAAACCAAAGGTAGGATTGGAATATACAAATCACAAAGAGTGGCATTAATTTAAAATAAAGGCTGTTTCCCCTTTATTACAAATTAATCTTTGAGTTGGTTTCAATTTATTTTTAAGCAAAAGATCAGAAAAGTAGCCTTAAGAATAAAATGTCACAAAAACAAAGGTGCTGATTACAAATCAAGCTAAGCAGATTTAATAACCCTGTTTCACGTTGTCTAAATATGAAGAAAGAGGTTAGGTTTGCCCTGCTTTCAGTCTGGTTTTAACCTCACTTCATATTTCATCTTTTTTTTTCCTCTCGACCCCATCACAGGAAAAGAAGCTGAAAACCCTGAATTGAAAGCGCTCTCATTAACTCGCCATGATCCACWGAGACACCCACCAGGCAAACACACATTCTCTGTAACACTAGACCTCAATCAGTGAAGGACATGGAGTTAAAATAGGTGAAAAGTGTGTGTGTGTGTGTGTAGTGGGCTATAAAATATTTCAGTGTAAAGACAAGGTGAAAATATTTCACATCTACCTCTCTATACTAACAGGTCTGTCAAATTTAAAGAGGATGTAGTCTCCAGCAGTAGGTGTGATGGCCCAGAAGAAATCTTCACCGAGGTACGTCTTCTCTAACGTGTGACCCTGATACACCTGAAGGGCAGAAGATAMGTTTACTTTTATTCACTCGTTTTAATGGCTCTCTTCTCATTACACAACAGCGTTACCTTCATTGAAGTGGAGACCTCTGCAGGAGGGTTAACATGGATCTTATGAAGCAGCGGCTTCAGGAAGTCTTTGTCCTACAGCAACACAAAAAGAGGAAACCATGGGTTTCTCTACAGGAAAGAGCTTCAACAGACTCTGAACATAAACAACGGCCAGGAGGCGGGTCTCACTGTGAGTTTCTGAATCTTTCCAGCAAGAGAAGAATGGAGTCCAACATGCTGAAACAGTGAGGGTCTGAAACGCACGCGCAGGCTGGATTTCTGACGCTCACAGTGTTTCTGAGAGGAACAAAAAGCAAAACAGCAAATATTAATAACGTATATCCTAAAACTGCAAATGTTACTTGTTCAGTAATATCAGTTCATACCGCATCTTTCTCAGGGTTGCAGACTTTGACCCAAAGAATGTGATCCAGCAGCCAGTCAATAGGCTTCTCTTTGTAGAACATAAAAATAAACTCAACAATCAGATTTAGGTCAGGAGCCTGAAACATTTTTCCTGTAAGAGAAGAAAATTAATTTGTAAATTCATCGTTCACATCAGTTAAAAGATATAAGACCAGTGAAAAATAAAAAGAACTCAAGCAAAAGAAAGTCGTGTTTTGAGGTAGAAGATATGAGCTCTTTCTTATTCCCACATTTTTTTCAACCGAAACATTTTCCTTTATTTGTGGTTAAATCTTTGATTATCAGTTTTTGCAAATAAATATGTTTATTAACTTGCTCTATTGTTATTAAAAAACACAACCCTATTCTGTTGAATGAAAACTCTTTGGATGCAGCAGATGTGTGTAAACTATTGGGAAGACAAAGTTCATTATCTGCAATAAAAGCTTAAAGCTTAAATCTCTGTTTTTCATTTTGTACCAAAAGGTTTAAAAAATGTAAACGTTTTAGTGGATGTTGTTAATTATGCCAGTTCCTTCAAATAAATCAATGCTTATTTATTTTTAAAGGGATTAWTACTATAATTCYTAACATGTTGGAGAATAAAACAAAGTTCTAAAATCAAATATTCTTTAGTTCACAATGTGTAGGGATTGATGTATGCTGAACTCTGCTCTTTTCCCTGCCATTTCAGTACGATTTATTTCTATTTCATTTCATTTATTGTTTATTTATATAGGGACAAACGTTAAGTGTTAACAAATACCGTACACTAAAACATTTATAGACTAAGCTAACTTGGAACGCAGTCCCTAGATGGGCTTAATATTAGCAACATAAAAATAAATGGTGAAGTTCAATAAAACTGACATGAATCGTTCATAAATGGTGGTTATAAATGCAACCACCTCATTTAGAATAAAGTTGATTATAYGATTCCCTTACTACAAAGTTTTTGGTTGCATTTGTGACCTGCTGGCTGTATACAGCTTGCTTTGGTTTGGTAAATAATTGAAGGTTTGTACCGATGAAGCCAAGCTGTGAGAACTCCAGGATCATCCAGTCTTCTGATGAGAGCTGCAGGGCAAAGTTCTTCATGGTGGCAAAGTAGTTGGGTTTGGCCACGATGTCGTCCTCCAGCTGCAAGAAGAGATACACAGATTAACCAAAACAAAACACAGAAATAGGATGTGGTTGTAGGGGGAGAATTAAAGGGGAGACTGCTCTACACTCACACAGGACGTTCTCGGAGTTGAGCTAATAAACACTAACCTAGAACAGCAGCTGACACTAAAAATTATTTATGTATCACACACCTCTTCCCTCCTCATGAGAGCAGGTAATAGAAATCACATGCTTGATGAACAGGACAGGAAAAGAAAACATTAACGCAGTAAACACTTAACTGTGAATAAAATCAACAACAAGGTGTTTGTTAAAAACCAAAGAGATGCAGAAAAAAAACACTTCAATAAGTTAACTGTTGCAGTCTGAAAAGGCAACAGTTGATTAACAAATAAGAACAGCAACATGATGCATTGTTCTTACTATAAATCATGCCACAAACTTGAATAAAGMAAAGCTTTAAAGTCAGCAGGTTTGTGACAACAACACTCTTTTGAAGATACACCCAGACAAGTTATAATGGAAACTAAAATATGCATTATTTTGTTCAACACAATTTTGATTTAGCCGTGAGATGTTGATTAATTTTAGCTATAGCTAGCCTTTASAGCTACTGTAGGTTTAAAGACAGTAATTTTCTGAACTATTTAAACATTATTACTCTTTTTTTTTTACCAGATTGGGTAAGGAAGTCAGTAGCTCACCAAAAAATGAAGCTCACAAAAAGTGTGTGCAGACAAGTTCTATTAATGATTGTGTTCACTATAAAGTTCTGCTGCTATGGGTTTAGACTACTGGAGGACAAACAGACCACATTTCCTCACTCTGCTGCTGTTTTGAGTCATTCTCCTCTACATGTTTGTTGTTGTAATTACTTCTATCCAGCGGTGGACACTAGTCCCCTAAAGCACTATATCGTGCAGACCGAAATGTCTTATTTGCACTTTAGGGGTTTTACTACATTTTTTGAAMTGTGTGCAGATTTGCACTTTCTAAATAAAAAAAAAAATCAGTAGCGCTAAATAAATTATTTCATTGATCGTCATTATCTTTAACAGTGAAGGGAGAAAGCCGTCTCAAGTACGGATGCCACAAACTATTATTTTTATAGTCGATTAATCACCGATTATTTTTTTTCGATTAGTCGACTAATCGGATCATATGTTGATTGAATATAAAACATACAGCTTATCGTGCCAGAATGCAGCTGCTATTATATAACCATCGTTAGATTTTAGCTATATGCTAATAAAAATAATTGCTGTGGAAGGCAAGTTCTGCCTTACAGATATTGCACAGGTTTCTCTTTCATTTTCTTAAAATGATCCCACACTTTTGAGCCCCGTTGCTGGGTAGCCATGATACCAGAGCCTGTCTGTATAATGTCTTGTGACGTCCACGGCCTACACTGGTTACTACTACTGTGCATGTGTGTCAAGRACAGAAAGGCAGATGTGGCAGTGGAAGGTGTCAAAGCAGTTTGGAGAGAAAAACAAAGTAAAGAACAAAAAACGACTAATTGATTATTAAATTAGTCATCGACTATTTTAATAATCGATTAGTCGTGGACTAATCGACTAATCGTGGCAGCCTTAGTCTCAGGTATATACAATGCAGACTCATTGTAACAGTGCCCCCTCAGAAAACAGTTTGTACTCAGAGGCTACAAACTCTGGCTGACTCTGCTTCTGGATCACGGTTTTCATTTAAGAGACAATTCCCACAATTCTTTGGGTTTACGTTGCAGGAAGCAATTAGAGCGACATCACTGGGCRACACTCCCAGCCCTTCTCCACCTTTGCAATCTGTTGTAGTTCTGATTGGTTCGGCTGAATGTGTCTCCAGGTTCTAACCACASAGTTTGTGTCTCCTCTCCGATAGGTCCAGGTTGAAGCGGTTTAAGCGATTTGTTGCCCACCACTGCTTCTATCAATAATTTCTTTGTCTCTCTTCCAGAGGAACTGGACCAGTTTCTCTGTYTCTTTWCTGTCCTCTCAAACGCAGCCAGTTGGGGCAGACGGCTGCCCATCCTGAGTCTGGTTCTGCTGGAGGTTTCTTCCTGTTAAAAGGGAGWTTTTCTTTTCCACTGTTGCCAATGTGCTGCTCAAGTGACTGTGATGATGTGAAGATTCAACGCAACCAGCTGGTTTCCTTAGATTGCTTGTTTTTTCAGTTGTACAGTGCTCTGAGATGACATTTGTTGTGACTTGACGCTAAATAAACGGAATTCAACTGAACAACATACCTGAACGTAATAAACCCCTTTGCTCACGGCGTACATCATGAGAAAGGAATAATCCAAATTCTGCTTTGTTCGCCATCTAAAACAAAAGAAAAAAAAAGGCTTTCATGAACACACAAAATAAAACACAATGTGATTAAAAGGATATTATATCTGTTCATCAGACCAACTGCCTGACATGCAGAAAGAAAAGCCGAACTCTCAGGTATGTACACGAAGCTGCAACAGCAGGCTTGGCTTGAATAATTTATAGACCACAGCTGTCACATTAATTGTTTGATCCAAATGATGTAGCGGTCCCACTGAAAGCTTGTTCACAGATGACTGCAGGTGCTCCTGTGTGGGAGCTGGCACGGAGATATTTCTGTCTACACGTGCTGCGTCACTAATGCAGACACACATACTTCTAACACACTGCTAAAGGCGCAGTAATTAATGGATGAATGCTACCTTACTGAGACTCAGCCAGGTGGTTGAACATTGCTGCTGATTTAGCAGCGAGAAACCGTCACAGGTCTTTTTGTTCCYTTTTCAACTCATTTGAATGCGTGTGTATGTGACAGCCATGTTGAACGAGATTCTAAGGGGTCAGGCTTTTGCTAGGAACAGGCGAGCTCTCAAACACCCACAACTAAACAGTGCAGCGCCCCTGAAGGCTATTATCTGAGCACATACTGTAAAAGCCTCCACTGCACCATAAATAGATTTCTAATGAACTATAAAGAGAAGATAAGCTAAGAGGATCAAACTGAGCATAGAAGCGGCAATGGAGAGTGCTGCTGCTGATGACCTTGATCTGACTTTGACAAACGCCTGTGGAATACTAAACGCCCAGTAAACCTACCTAAAAGCCCTCACATGTTCTCCATCCTTTCTTCCTCCCATTCCCCTGACTCACTGACTCATCCTTCTGCTTTTTCTGCAATGCTCATTGGAGCTCTAAAACATCACACACTACCACAGATACAGTATAAGCAAATTAGTTGGCAACCAACAAGTTGAGCTTTTTTTCCCTTTACCTGACTCTTTCTTTTGAGTCTCCAAACGTCTCTTTGAGGTTGGTTAGATCGGGRTAATAGGCAGCTGGTGGAGAAATGACTTCCAACAATCCAGAGTTYAACTCAGTGGAAAACCTAATAGGTTAAAGAAGAATGAGACATGAAGCTTCCTATAGGTTCAAATATTAGTTGTTGAGCTTAGAAGTGTTTGTTGAGACATAAACTCACTCTTTCTCGAGGTCAGCAACCACACTGTGAACATAGTCCACGTCAGTCTGCAAAGATTGTACCATGCAACATCATGTTTTCATTTTTCTATGCRTGCATTTAATATGAAAAAGGCATATTTAAAGTCTCACCTCCCCAACAAACACTATGATGACACAGTCGAGTTTCTCCTCTGGTGAGAGCTTGTCTATTAGCGAACGCAGCGTCTCTGACAGATAGGACTTCACTTTCCGCTTCACTGTGGGGATCCCCATCACCATGGTAACTGGGGACAAGATGCATACAGTGTGAGGTGAGGAACAAGAAGGGTACAAAGGGGGAGCAGCTCAACTATAAACAGGTGGGCCCAAAAATAAATAATCTTTGCTGTGAGTCAACAACAGATTATGTTGGCCTAAATCCATGAGAACAGGAATTCATGCCTGGACTGACAGATGGCAGTGGGCAGAATGAGTTTGTTATGTATCTGCAAAACCACCCTCTGTGTTGATTAACAAAATATCTTTTTACAATAATTATTAGGTAATTTAGTTATTTAGGTGAAACTAAGCTACCTAAAACAACATGCAAATGACAAACAGCTAATGTATTCTCTTTAAGATGACATTTCAGTCCCTAGAATCCAATCCTGCAGGACAGTTTGCATGTTTTACAGGAAAAACAAAGTTTTTCCTGTTAGAATGTAAACAGGGTAAAGTGCTGCTAGGAATTCTAAGAAACCTGAAATGTGCTGTCCAGGTTTCACAAGAAAGACAATGCCACACAAAAGCCTTTACAACAGGGCTATTGAACTAAATAGCTCCGGGGGCCACAGTTATTGCAGGTCAACAGCTGAGGGGCCGAACATCCAGCAATTAAAGTTATTATGTAAATGAACCAAGTATTACAAAGATCTGTTACCTTTGAATTAGTTTATTTTTCTGCATTTAATCATGAATACAACATACAGAACCCTATAAAAGTAGTGATAATTAAACATTATCAAAAACAAAAATAAAACATTTTGCCTCCTATTTGACAAATAATATTTTGACATCTCTGACTTGCCAAATTTGCAAACCAATTTTATTTTCACTTTCATCATTTTATCTTCAACTGCTTGTAGTTTTAACTGTCTTGAGGTTTTCTAGAAATGGTTTTTACCAGCCACGATTCTCACTTTTTCTGTAGACAAACATGTCTATGTTAAACTAAAAGAACTTAGAGTAATTAAAGTAGAAAACTTAAGAGATGAATGAACCAACTGGCGGGCCGAACTTGGGTTACTCGCGGGCCGAATGTGGCCCGCGGGCTGCCAGTTGAATGGTCCTGCTTTACAACATATTAAAAAGAAACTTATTTGATGTGAGCACTCTGCCTTCAAAACAGCCTCACTTCTTATAGGTACACTTGCACCAAGTTTGAGATCTTGTAGGAATATAGTCAGGTAATATGATTTACTAGTTATAACAAGCAGGTGTTAATGATCACTTCATGTGTAGGTGGAAACAAAGACTGGAACAGAAAGAACTGTATAAGTCTTTAAACCGGGTGAGAAGCAGTAAAACTCTAAATAATGCTATTAACGAGGGGTTGTTTTTAAACCTAATTTATTTTGTCCAACTTTGTTTTTATTGGAATTTTAAAAGAATTAAAGAAACAAAAACAAATTGTATCTTTGCTACAAACTGCAAGTAATAAAAGTCTTATGATCCAATTTAGCATCGTCAATTTGCCAAATTCTGTTATGTGTCAACACAACTGGTTTATCTCGAGTTTAGCTGTTCTGTTGAGGCTGAATGATTTATAGATCAAACTAAAGTGGCCCCAACAAACAAACAACAAAAGACCTTCCTCTAAAAATGGTCAGGTAATGAACTGAAAAAGACATTGAAGGAAAAATCTGAAAGACTTTCAAAAAACAGCCTGAAAATCTATCGATCAAAAACACTTAAGATAACCCAACTGTCTGCATCCTTGGAAACAAAACGTAAAGAAATAAGAAATGTCTATTTTTATTTTACACCATTTTTCCACACCTGCGTTAACATTGGCACAGTACTGTATATATATAGAAAGAAGATGAAGTGAGTGTGATTGTGTGTGCAAGAGTGTGTATGTGGACTTAGTTGTGGTGGGAACATGCTGACAGAGCTGATGCTGAGACACAAAAGGCGAGGTGGAAAAAAAAGACAAAATGAAACAAAGTTGAGGTGCTGATTGAGTGAAGTGAGGAGGGGTACAATCCTCCAGAGCGATCTGTGCAGCGTGGAGAATCTGTCCTAGTTCTGCTTTGTGTTTTTCACACTGAGCGCCATGTTGTATGGTGACAMCCACCACCACCAAGAAAGTAGGTCGAGGATGAAAGGAGAATGTGGGAGAATGGAAACGACAGAGTGACAGTGTAAGGAAGACTGACAGACAATGAATGAGGGATAATGCATGCATGTGCAGCAGGACTGACTCCAGGACTCCACCTCCCCTTGTTCCCTGATCAGCTTGTCCGTTCCACTCTGCTACCCTTTCATCTCCTTTGGTGGAGAAAAAGTTTGTGCACTTCTGTCACATCAAAGC